ACTGCTTAAAAATATAAAAGATATAAATTATTATTCTTGTTCTCTTGTTTATATAATAATAATAAAGTGTACTGTTATTCTGTTTGGCTAATTCTCAACATATTGAGAACTACTGTAGTTATTGTTTTCCAATTCTTCCAATATACCGAGAATAGTTGTAGTAATTGTTTTGTCTGATTTTTTTAATATATCTAGAATAGTTGGTGTAATTGTTTTGTCTGGTTCTTTCAACATACCAAAAATAGTTGTAATAATTGTTTTGACCAGTTCTTCCAACATACTGAAAATAGTTGTAGTAATTATTTTGTCTGATTCTTCCAATATACCAAGAATAGTTTAAATAGAGGATCTACAAGCAGATCCTAGGTATGGCAATTGGTAAGTAACTATAGATAGAAATAAATATAGTGGAGCCCTTAATTAGACAATGACTAAAGTTATACATATAACCAATTGTACTCTCGTTAATATAATAAAGTCAAGAGGTGTCTATTCAGCATTCTAATAATTGAACTGAAAAGTTAATAAACTGTGCCAAATCCCAAAATAGTTACCTTAATATTAAAAAAAAATAAAAAAAAAATAAATAAAATATAGAAAGCAGAAAATATAAAGTAAAAAGAGAAAAATAAGAGCTAAAAAAAAATAATAATAAAGAAATATTAAATTTAATGAACTACAAATTCATAATTTGCCAAATATAAATCCAAAATAAGAAATAAAGATTAAATATATAAAATTTAGTAAAATCTAAGTTCAAATTAAAAAAAAAAGTATAATACTTCTATATAAATATAAAATAAAGAAAAAAACTTTAAAAGAGAGTAGTAACGTTAAAATTAGTGCTAAATTTTTTTATATAAAATAATAAATTTACTGATTAACTATATGATTGTATTGTTATGATATGTCATATACACATTATACTTGATATTTAATGGTTAAAAATAATTAATTAAATTTCTAAATAGTAATAAGATGCAAAAGATAGATTATACAATATATAGATTGAAACAAATAAATACTAGATGCTATTTCAATATACTAATAATAGAAGTCTTTATCAATAAAATTTAAGTTCTTTAAATTTAGACTATATAAAGATATTTAGATAAATTTATAAAGCAGGATATATTCATACAGACTTTCATTATAGTAGCATAAAGATATTAGTAAAAGTTTGCAATCTTACTATTTGATTTGATAATTAGATAATAATAACACTTTAGCTTTAGCAAGATACGAACTCATAGATCGCCAAGTCTAGTTATATAATTAAAGTATTGTGTGGTCTATAGCTAAATTTTAAATAATTATTATTTAAATAGAAATTTTCTCTTACCTCTTTTCTTTATTGCTTTTCTTACCTGAGTATAACGAAGATAAATTTTTTTATTTATTATTTTTATTATTATTAATTTTTTTTATTAAATACAATTTATTAATAGCAATTTTTATATAAATATTACTATATTTATTAATTGATACTTAGATAATAATAACTCTTCAGCTTTAGCAAAATACAAACTTGTAGATCACCAAGTCTAATTATGTAAATTAGAGTATCATTTAGTCTTTTAGCTAAATTTTAAATAATTATTA